ACGCACTTGGATTCAAGGCTTTATTTTTGAGAAATCATAGATTTTAGGTTCGGAATGAGTATTTTCCTATATCATCATTTTCAGCAATGTTGTAGACCACTGGAAACTCAGAAGTACCATTTTTGGTCGATTTTCACCATAAAAGCCCTACTTTGCGACGCTCCTCACTCGAAAACGGTGGGCAACACTATTTTGCATACGACCTTCCTTTTAGGAAACCTAATTAGCTTTAATTAAGCACTACGATATTTTCACGAAATAAATGACTTTGAAACAGACCTCTAGATCAAAAACCGGAAAAATAGTGATTTTAGGCTTAAAAATCCAAGAAGGCGGCTAAAGCCTTCACCTCAGAAATGGTGCAAAACTAACCCTTATTTTCAAACCTCATAATACGTCTGTTAAAAATATCTCCAGCACTTAATTCAATATTCATTCCTTTGGTGCCTGGCCTGTTTCTTGTGGATTTGAATTTTAGAAAATAGCCTGGTTGGAAATAAACAATCATTTCCCATCTGAGCAAATCCAAAAAAATCGTTAAATAACAAGATTTATCTTAAACTCCATTTGAAAATACTTGTGTCAAACTTTACCACATTACTTACATTTGATTATGTACCCAGAATAAAGTTTTTTGCTCATTCTAATGTGTACCTATCTTCTTCCTTTTTATTGAGTAATATTTTAGGGGAATTAACAGGGTGAGTAATTGGTGCGTGCCTACATCTTGCTCCCAAGTTTTGTTTACATGGTTTTAGAAAATGATAAAAAATGCTACTATTTAAACCCTGTTTCATAGTAACTGGAGTGAGAAATTACGAGTTAGCTACACTATTCTTATCTGGTCCAGCATTCAGTGAAGCTCCGTCCCTGTTTTATTTTGTTAAACAGGACAGACCCATATTTCCCTAGAACCAGTATACTTTTCTGAATATTTTGGCTACTTATAATTAAGGAAGCTATGTCCAGGTAAATTAAAAATTGGTGATAAAAAAAGAAAAACAATATTGGGTTCTGACATTTACTTAAAGACGAATGATTGAGTGCACATGAATATGAAGTACATAGGAAAATGATAGTCAAGCATCAGCCAGACATTGCAAGACGTTTCCTAGACAAGATAAACATATAGGTATTTTCCAATTCTTAAATACAATTACTGAATAAGAATCTAGGAGATACAAGAAAAAATAAAATGGAAAACGAAGAAAACTAGGAAATGTTCATTCTTAGATAGATCAAAGGTGATAAAAAGAAAAGAAAAAAAAAAAACTATGTAGCAAACTTGACAATTCTGTCAAAATCTTCTATCCTTCTTTTACTGCGGACATAATAGAAAACGTTTCAGCAGTTACACTGCTGGCCCAATGGAATCATGAAACTGGATTACTGCCTATAATCTAAGAGGGTGGGGGCGGAGGTTGTTGGAATGCTTGGAAACCATTGTACTGCTGCTGCTGACCATACTGCGCGTATTGAGCATACGCTGCCGCTTGTTGATTGTACATTTGATACTGCTGTTGTTGCTGTTGTGCTCCGAAATTCGGGGGTGGTTGATTGAAACTCTGTTGAGGAGTACCTCCGTAGTTGGCGCCAACCATGGCACCACCGCCTTGCTGCTTGACGAGGCCACTGTTGCTGTCGGAGAAACGAGATTTCTTTTGGTCATTATCCCATCGACTTTGCCTTCCGTTATCGGTGCTGGGTGCGCTTCCGCCTCTTCCACCACCACGGCCGCCTCCCCTTCCGCCTCTGGCACCCCCAAAGCTACTATTTTCTGATCCGAAGCTATTCCTGCCGCCTCCACCGTAACCGCCAGAGTTAGCACCTCCAAACCCGTTGCCGCCGCCATCACTGCTTTGATCAAAGGAGTTTCCACCGCCAAAACCTCCTACGCAAACAAAAAATCATAAGTAGACATTGGAAAATTTCGCTTTTATTTTCCCCCGATTTCGCGGTTATTTTTCCCGAATTTCGCTGTTATTTTTGCTGATTTCGCCGTTATTTTTATAGCGCTTTAAGCGTTTGACAACTTAAAATAAAGCTTTTAATTTTATTTAACGAGCCATCGCTCAGTCTCTCTCTCTCTAACCCTATTTGACCGAAGAAGCACTTTATTCTTGACTAAAAAATATCTGTTGCTAACTTTTTGATGCCTTTGGCGAACACTGATAGCTAGTAGCCAATGACGACCAATGCTCAGAAAAACTCCGTAATTTCTTATTTTGAAAAAAAAGCGTGGCAAATTTCGTCTTACATCATACATTCGTAAACTTCACAGAAATGTACGGATTTCGCAGATTTCGCGGATAAATTTGGATGATTTCGCGGTGATTTCACGGATTCCGAGCAATTTCGCGATAAATCCGGAAAATGGCCGATTTCGCGTTATTTCGCTTTGAATTTTCGTGATCAGGGGGTTATGATCGGTGCCTCTGTCTGGTTTTCAGATTCCAAGGCACATTTTAAAAATTTCGCGGCGAATCGCGGCGGCGAAATTTTCCAGAAATCTTAAGCTTTAACACTTTACAACCTAACGCTGATCGTGTCCGCAACCCTTTCCACTGCATCAACCCTTCCTGCTCATTCTGCGCCCATTCAATCCGCTACCCTTTCTCAAACAGAGGTCTTACTCCACCCCCACTTTCCCTTCCAGCTTTTTGCCGACCATTTAGTTTCCTGAAGAGTTCAGGTCAGTTTTCTCTATGACTTTGCAACACATTTTTTTGTGTGGTTTAGCTGGGTTTTTTGGTTTTTTTTTCCTCTCGTTCTCTTATTTTTCCTTTTCTTCACTTACTCCTGTAATTCCAGTGATTTTCTCAATGAGTCATGGAGTAATCTTTGTAAAATTATTTTCCTTCTCGTCGTGAAGTACCTATTATTATTATTAACTCCCTCAATAATCCTGATCATATTATTCTTTGTGAATGACTCTTTATAAAAATGTTTCCTTTTCTATTTTAAATTGTCATTATTACTGATTTTTTCAATAATTCTGAGGATATATTATTAATTTCTTAATAATTCATCTCCTTTCATAGTTTGGAAATTCGCTTTTGGCTATTGATAAGATATAGTCCCTGGATGAGCCTACTCTATTGGAATTAGCACATGAGCGGAACGAAGCGACCTCGGGGGCTGAGTGGCATCCACATAGCCCCCTGGTAAGCAAATAAAGAAACAGACTTATCAACTGAATGAACCACTAGATAAGGTGGGAATTTAAGCTTTCTGATACATGTTACATTATACAAATTTTACATAGGTTACAATTTGCACAACGAGAATTGTTAAAAGTAACTCCTAACAAAGATATTAACAAAGATATTAGATTTCAAGTGATGTGGACATCACTTGCCATCAAATTGGCAAAAAAACAGGACTGAGCGATAGCTCCAAGTTGGCGGGGTTTTCAGCTGAGCAGATTAAGTTAAGAATACAGAGAGGAGTAAATCAGTGGTACTCTTGATACATCCGAAAATTTTTGTGAAAAAGAAATGCTATTAAAACAAACCATAGGCGGCTTTTCTATTTTAAAATCATTTTAACTTTATCATCATCTATTGTTCCTTAAATGAGCTGTTTTTGTTTGGATCAACAAAACAAAAACAAAAACGTTGTTTGTTGTCTTCTATCAAATGAACAAAAATCAGTACAATTGGTGGCTCAGTTAAGGGATCAGTTGGAATAAATTACACAACTTTACTGTTTACTAATTCACTATTTACTATTTCTGACAGTCTGTTTCTGTTCAAGAACAATGAATTAGGCATTAACTTCCTATCGCAGGTGAGAATTTTTAGGGATGAGTCGGCAATAGCATGTAGTCCAGTGTCTAGTCTTGTCAGTGTATAGTCCAATAGTATGCATTGCAAATATAGTCCAGTTGGTGCCTCACCAGCCTAGGATGAAGATGATGGTTATTCAACTAGACGTACATAATTGGTTCCTCTAAAAATTGAATCAGCAAAGAGAATATTTTCGGAAGTGCATCAATGCGTAATACTGAAGATTCCCTACCTTGATTGTTCCCATAGCCTCCACTTCCTCCATAACTCTGGTTACCGCCGAAGCCTCCACGACCACCGCGATCATCGCGTGATCCGCCACGGCCGCGACCGCCGCCAAAAGCTTGCTCGCTTGAACGTTTTCTGTCGAAGTCTCCTCGGTCGCTGTCTCTGCCGCGTCCACCGAATCCACTAGCACTGTCCCTTCCTCTGCCTCCGAAACTACCTCTGTCACGGCCTCCTCTGCCGAAACCTGAGTCTCGTGACCTCATACCGCCACCGCCACGCTTCACTAAAGCCAAGGATAAGAAAGAAAAAATTTCTACACTTACCAAAGTTGTTCGGTTTTGATTTGAGGTTACTTACTGCTAGGAATTGATTGTTTTGAAAGGAGTATTAGAGACTAAAGTTGGAAAAAAAGAAGTAAGCAAACAATTTGTTTAACTTTGTTGTATTCTGCCTTCTTTTTCTCTGGATTTAGATGCAGTTATGTTAACTTAAACTTAGTCAAATGATTACTTTATACCTGTTTTTGTTTGCCAATCGTCAGAGTTTGTATTTATTTCTTTTTCTTGTGAATGATAGGCTCCCTTGTACATTGTTGGAAATAAATAAAATAACACAATTTTCAAATTTAAAGAGCACTGAGTTTGTACGACATGGAGATGATTTGTTAAGTTCACCTTTGTTTCCCGATCACTTGGCTTCAGATTTTAGGTCTTGCTAGGTGATGGATCTGAATCTGAAGTTATCCAAGTTATCTGAAGTAACCTAAAATCTGAAGCCAAGTGATCGGGAAACAAAGGTAAAATGAACAAATTACATGAATCCCTATAAAAAGAATTTCAACTTTAAATGGAGATGATTCATTTTTCTACATTGCAATAAAAGAGAATCAGTTGAAATCATAATTAAAAATTCTTTCAAATATTCTGCTAATTCAAGTACACCGATCCAAAATTACTGAAAGAGAGACAGGAATGCATAATAGCTCTAGTGTTCATTTGACAAAGCAGTTGACTTAAGATCATGTTCATGCGCCTTCTTCAATTTGACCCTCTGTTCAAAAAGAACGACAACAAAATTAAATTAAGGAGGTTGATCAAGATTATTTTCCTAATGAATTCCACTTCAATTTCAGAAAAAGGTGGGATCTATAGAAGTGAACACGCATCTCAACTTTTTTGATCATAGGTCTTCTGCCGTCAGGAAACTTAAAACCGAGCTAAAAAACTTACTTGCAGAAAACATCAGGTGGACAAGAAATCTTATCAAAAAAGCGTACCTTAAATTTGCAAGTATATTTCATTTAATTATTTAAGTTGGAATGGAGTACCGGCAACTATTCGACCTGATGGGATCTTTGCAGATACCTTATAACGCCCTATCCAGTATTTGGACCTCATAGATCGAACTATTTTTGCCATGGAAATTTCGAAGTCCAGAGTGAATTTTCCCTATTTTTCTGAGTGTAACCCTTATCATTTTTCTTCAATTTAACATACAAGAAAAACCAATTATGCTTGCAAGTCTTGGTCAGCTTTAATCCTTTCGATATTTTCTGCACACACTTTAAAAAAGACTTTGGAATCTCTTCTTGGAGTTCTTCTTGAAGAGCTTTTTTTAGAACAATGCATTCAAGTAAGTCACTAGTATGCAAGTTTTAAGAAGTTATATATATATATATATATATCCTTGACTGGACTTTTCAGATTTTTCAGACTTGCAGATACCTTAAACTGCAAAGAAAATCTAGGGACAAAAACTTCCAACTCACTTCTGGAGAAAGCTCCTGTCCGTGCCATTTCTGCTAATTGCAAGAGTTTGGGGTTAACCCTTTGATTTGCTTCTTCCAAAACACTAATGAGATCCTTGGCTTGTCTTGCATTGGCAGGTGTAATGAAGGCATATGCAGTGCCTGTTTTGTTTGAGCGGCCTGTACGTCCGATACGATGAACATAGTCTTCGGATGAATTCGGGTAATCATAATTTATAACAAACTTTACATCATCCACATCTGCAACAAATGAATCGGTCAGTTTAAAAATGTGAAAATTTGTGAACATAAAATTTTCGCTCATTTGAAAAAAAGAATAAAGCACAGCTGCCAGGTGGCATTTACAAAAACGAAACGCAAAAATTACTAATTCTAACTCTAGTGCTGAGGATTGAAAAAATGGTCATAATCAGTAAAACTTGTCTTAAGGTTAGGAAACGGTAGGTAGGGGGGAGGGTGTTGGGGTCAGGAAAAGATTGATTACCAGGGCTCAGTTTTTTCGGATCTATATTTATTATAGGGTGCGCTGGGAGGTTGACACTGGGCTAGCGGACCATTTTCAGTTATCGCAGGTTTGTGGTTCGATTATTATCAAAACACAATATATAATTTATTATAAACCATTTTTACATCATATATATATATATCATTATTACGTCATATATATTATACATTCAAAGGTCAGCTGAAAATAATAAGATCTGTCCAAGCTTCAAGTTTCCACGTTCAATATCAACGGAGATAATGCCTTTCATAAAACATAGCTTACGATATTAACCACAGTGGTGGTGCATACCATGGTTTCTTCCACCTTGGTTTCATCCTTGTTTTCAGAGAGGCAACCACTGCAAATGGGCGTACCACTGATTGATTCAAAGGTGGAAGAAACCACAGTATGGGCAACCACGGTGGATGACGTCATACACCGCGTTTTTTGAACGGCGATATCTCCATTAATATCGGACGTGAAAAATAGATGTTCAGATAGATCTCATTACTTTTCACTAGTCCTTGGGCCTGAGCCTTCAAAACGCGATTCCGTCACTATAGCAACTGTCCCATTGTCATCGAATAACAGCAAGCTAACACTGGCAAAGGGCAACATAATGGAGCCTAGCAAAAAGTTTCGACCCTGGTTGAATTTTTCACAGCAGTTTTTTTTTTTTGAGGGGGGGGGGGGATTTTCTTGCACTGAAAAACGAAATATGTTAAAAAGCCCTGGGTCAGAATATGTTAAAAGTTCGTTTGCTCTTTATTATCCGTTGCAGATTTTCATTTTAAAATGGGTTTTTCTGGAAGTTATATAAATATGACATGACTCTTTAATCAGAGATACCCTCTATTTGCTGTTTAGAGGATGGCATGCACTTTGAAAGTGATTTCCACTAAAAACATGCCAACTTGTCCTTAAATAGTGGTCGCCTTGCTTTAATTCAATTCTATCTTTGATAGGTGACATCCAGGCTTGTTCTAAGATGCTTTGCAACATTACATTAGTATCAACGGTGAAAGTCGGCAATCACATAACTCGGTTTGCCCAGTCGCAGACTTCCTGTTATACTTCATTTTTTACACGAAAAACTACTGAACGGCAATTCTTTAAGACTGCCGTGATTTTTCTTCTCTGTGCGAGGAAAATTCTGCATAAACTTCAAGGAATGATGTCAATTTGTTCACCTTTAAAAAAATAACATAGAGGTGGAGATTTTCAGACACTGCAAACGAGATTTGTGATTGCGGACTTACGCTGTTGATATCTCCCTTCCAACTGATTACTAACGTGAACGATTCAGATATCAAAGTTGTTTGTTAGAACTAGTCTCATATGAGCACTTAAAAACTATCTCAGAGGATCTCTACAGGGTATGCAGCTGTTAACAATTAAGGGATAACATAATGTGAAAAATCAGGGGAAAAAAGACTTAGTATCATTTGATGACATCAGTTAAAAAGTAATGTTTTTCTTTCCTCACACTCCTTCTAATTACATTTAAAATATCTATCTTTTGAAGCAAAGATGCATGCGTACAAAGGTGAAATGAGGATAAAAAAGCTGAGGTAATTGAATACATTTTACAAGAGAGCAAAAGGAGAAAAATCTATCTGAAGGCAATTAATAAATATGAAATATAACTAGAAAGACGTGTGCGTCAACTGCAATATGAATTTCAAAATTTTGGCTTATCCATTTCAGCTTGTTGTTAGAACATTCTTGGAGGAATACATTTTTAGAGAATCATTCTGACAAGGAAAAGAAAAATTTCACAAAGTTCGCAATCAGGAGCCACTTACGAATTTATCATCAGGTCAGTTTTCTTACATGACTTTAACAGTTTCAAATTTGACACCTTAGTATGTCCGATTTCCTCAGGAAGTGAATCTTCTTCACTGCTTCGGCTGTGATCATCTTTCTTTCATGATGTGTTCAAGGTGTTGAAAAACCATTTGTTTTCCTTCTTTTTATGACCTCTGTTAATCCTCTATTTATAAAGAGCGACGCCAAGAATGGCACAATTTGGGCCAGCGGGGATTTTTCTGAAACCGGGCCCAAACGATACCTTATGATACCCTAAAACTCTGGTAAAAATTTTACCTTGAGTATACGCACGGTTTTTGAGAAATGAGGGGGCAAAGTTGCCAAATCGCTATCATTCTGCACAGCATTTCTACAGCAAAAAGACTGGAAAAATGGACGAAAAAGTTACACATTTGATGGGTTTTGGCTGTAAATGTTCTCATTGGGCCACCGAGCATTTAACTGTGTTCAGTTTCAAAAATTTTGGTCACACAGTGGTCCGAAATGGGGAGAAATCATTGACAAATCAGGATTCTTTGTCAATTTTTCAGAAATGGAAGTAAAATTGTCGGTCTGCTGCAGTTTTCATGGCTAATAATGTTCTTATCGGTCCTCAATGCATGAAATTGTGTTCAGCTTCACAACTGTATATAGCACAGTGGTCAAAAATGGGGGAATTAGTGGACAAATTAAGATCCTCTGTCAAACTTCTTAAAAATGAAGTGAAACTGTTGGTCCCAAGTAGACTTCAGATCCCGGAAAAATTCTTCAATTTTTTTTTTTACTATTTCTTTTTTAAATTTCTGAAAGTTTGCATATTTTATTGGTATAATGCTACAAAGTCCATTCTATAACAACGTTCTATAAACAATACGGTCTGACATGTAGTAATAATTAAAAAAAAATCAAAAACATGAATTTTTCCGGGATCTAAAGTCTACTGGGGACCAACAGTTTCACTTCATTTTTAAAAAGTTTGACAGAGGATCTTAATTTGTCCACTAATTCCCCCATTTTTGACCACTGTGCGATGTACAGTTGTGAAGCTGAACACAATTTCATGCATTGAGGACCGATAAGAACATTATTAGCCATGAAAACTGCAGCAGACCGACAATTTTACTTCCATTTCTGAAAAATTGACAAAGAATCCTGATTTGTCAATGATTTCTCCCCATTTCGGACCACTGTGTGACCAAAATTTTTGAAACTGAACACAGTTAAATGCTCGGTGGCCCAATGAGAACATTTAGAGAGAAAGAGACGAATAGAACATACACACGATAGAGAACATTAGAGAACATTAGAGAGAACACGATAGAGAACATTAGAGAAAAATGGACGAAAAAGTTACACATTTGATGGGTTTTGGCTGTAAATGTTCTCATTGGGCCACCGAGCATTTAACTTTGTTCAGTTTCAAAAATTTTGGTCACACAGTGGTCCGAAATGGGGAGAAATCATTGACAAATCAGGATTCTTTGTCAATTTTTCAGAAATGGAAGTAAAATTGTCGGTCTGCTGCAGTTTTCATGGCTAATAATGTTCTTATCGGTCCTCAATGCATGAAATTGTGTTCAGCTTCACAACTGTA